AACTGCTTGAGGAATTTTTTTTCGGTTGGAAAACTTCATTTTGAGAAATGTTGAACATTTTTTGCGGGCTATCTAGATTACAGTGAAAGAACTGAGCAAAGTTTTTCAGAGGAAAACTTCTTATTTCAGGAAAAAAAAAAAAGGAAATGTCCTTTAAACCTTTAAAGTGAAATTAAATTTTGAAGTGTTTGATATTTTGGTCCATTATGACAAAACAGCAGTACTGTTACATAATTTGTGAGACAGTGGAATGCTATGATATGGTTCCGCTTGATACTATGTATCATAAATTAATTCATGAATAATGAGAGCAATATGCAATTTTAGAAATAAAAAATGACATGTTATTTTGTCACTTTGTAAAAAACTTAGAAGACACTGACTTTCATTTGAAGTTGACACAAATATTCCACATTTCATATATGAAATTCTCCCACAAGAAAAAAAAAGAGAAAAGAAAAGAAATTCTAAGTTTTTCAGAGTTCTCTTATTCTAAGGAGGTGTCAAAACTGAACTGTATAAAGAAGAAACCCAGTTATTTCACCTGCAGTCAGCTAATTCATTTCTCATCTTACTTGCTGCTGAAGAGATGGATCAATGTTCCATCCTTTTCTTGTGTTCACAAAATCTGATAGTGTCAACATTGTTTCCCAGTTAGGGCTGCTATTCAACAAATCCTCTTCAAAATAGTTGCCTCCATTCCAAGGGACAACACACAATCTATTTAACACATTCCATTAAAGCAGAAGGTCTATCCCTGAGTGTGAGAAGAGTATGCATACTCTGCCCCAGCGTTCCTTATTGGACAGTATTGGCCTTCGCCCTTCATGACCTCTGTAGTTACTCTTACATAAAGTCGTTTTGTCAGTATAGCAGCATTTTCTCTTACCCAAAGATTCAGCCTGCACTGTTAACAACTGCTGGTAATAATAATGAAATCTACCTTTTAGATGGGTGAAAAAAAAGTATTGTTTTAGTTTCATTTTACATGGACGTTCGGGCGTAATAGAGCATGTAATTTTGCACAGAAGTGCACAATAACATGCATAGAAATTGAATAGTCTGTTCTCATCTTCTGTTCTAAGTGACACAGGTATTTTCTTTCACAAAACTGTAAATGGGGAGTAAATCTCAAACAGATGTAAATTAGGAGTCATTCCTTTAGAGTAATTGACTCTGTTCTGGTCATTTGTGACTCTTGAATAACACCACTAAAGTCAATGGAGTAGCTTTGGATTTACTTTCTATTTAAAAGAGATTATAATTGACTTTGTATGTATTGGCACAAATTTTTGTAAACAAGTAAAGAAGGATTGATATGGATTTTGCTTAGAAAAGGACATAAATGTTAGGAAAAGTATGAGTGTTAGCAGGTTTGTGAGAACACCATCATATAGAAGCAGACACTGGCATAGTAAATGCAAGCTGATGGTTTAAATTTGGCACCTGCACACAACAAAAAGCTAGCCAGACCATTAGTAAGAGACAGCCTAATAAGATAATTTGCCTTGGCAGTAGAACTGGCCTAAGAAGTTCCCATCATCTTTTTTAACTTTAGTCATGTACTCTTGGCTTCATATTGTAGTTCACTCTCTTGTTGGTTGAACTGTTGTAAATTTTATGGACCGATGGTATGAATTCAACAGTTGAAATAATTCAGGATAAGAATCCAGTGTTCTCAAAAAAAAAGAAATTAAAAGCTGTCTCAGAATGGTATTGTGTCTGGAGAAATAAGCTCCATCTCTATGACAATATAGATAAATGTTTCCTGAACTAGATCTAGATTTCATTCAAACAAACAGACCCGTCATGAAAAAAAAAAGAAAAAAAAATGCCCTTATTCATGGAACTATATGGGCTTCCACTCCAACAATTACTGAATTGACCAAAATGTTCTGATGGAGAGAAAGATAATGAGAAAGAAGAGAGAGAAAAGAGAGAAAGGAAACAAGTTTCCTCTAGAAACTTACATTCAGTTTTCTCTGAGATGATTCATCCTGATCCAATATCCTTCAAAAACTGAACTTCAAATTGAACTTTGAAAGTTCAATTGTTACACAGGAATTTGGACGCAGGAAATGGATAAGAATTAAAGTGATAAGATTCATACTAGAGTAGAAAATTTCTCAAAATACTCAGAAGACATGTAGTATACAGCATCCTATGTAATTTCTTTTTCCACGCATGAATGGATTCACTCCATTTAATGGATAAATTTATCTACTGTTCTGAATTTTTCTGTATTTCATAATCATTGTTCCTTTTCTATTTTAATGAAAGAGAAAAGAGGAAAATGGGAAAAGAAATTCATTGAAGGTGATGTTGTAGCAGCTCAATAGATTTTGGAAAAAATATGGTTCTTGTCCTGCTCTTCCTCTTGTCAGTAATTATTTTAGTTCAGCAAGCTAGCTGTATTAAAGTTAATCATGCATCTCACTAGCTTAAGAAAATTGTTAATGAATTGAGAACATACAGAAAGATCCAACCCTGACAATATTTTGAGAACTAATGCTAATGAAAATAATGACACTTAAGGCTGAGAAGCCTTGTGGCATATTGGGCTAAGAAAAGCATGGTTATGAAGCCATTATAATGTCTTACTTTCTTGTATACTACACTTAGAATAAGGAAGTAATTCAAAAATACATATACATATGCAGGCAAAAGACATATATATGTAGAAAGAAATCAAAGGTTTTAAGCTTTTGCTAGAAGTCACTTATGAAAAAGGATAGCACAAAAGTTAGCAATAGGATAGCCATATGGAGCAATGACTGGAAACAGATTTTGTTGTGGAAGCACATGAAGGGAATGGTAGTTATGCTGCAAAGAAATAGTCTATAACCTATTGGGGGTGACCCGTGCCCTGTACATGGCTTAGCTATTGCAGGACCCCAAATAATGATGGTGATGATCTAAAACTTCATATCCTCACTTAGGAGAAAGACAAATAACCACTCCATTTCTGAAGGATTATTGCACAGAACTGCAGAACTCATCTGAAGATAGATTTGATCTACCAAAGGTCTTTTCAGATGCAGTATTGCTGCAATTCAAACTAAATTCGTCCCTCACAACATCCTCCTGGGCAAGCTCCGGAAGTGTGGGATAGATGAGTGGACAGTGAGATGGATTAGGAACTGGCTGGATGGCAGGGCCCAGAGAGTGGTGATCAGCGGTGCAGAGTCTAGTTGGAGGCCTGTAGCTAGCAGTGTCCCCCAGGGGTCAGTCCTTGGTCCAGTCCTGTTCAATTTATTCATCAATGACCTGGATGAAGGCACAGAGTGCTCCCTCAACAAGTTTGCTGATGACACGAAACTGGGAGGAGTAGCCGATACCCCAGAGGGCTGTTATTCTTGTCTAACATCAGGTATGTGAACACTATTAATGACTTTTAATGGGATTACCACCATGGTCAGTGTATTTAAAAACAACTGCTTTTGTTGTGTTCTCATAATTCCTGATTCAGCGAAACCTGAATTTAAAGCTTGTCTACTCTGGGAAATTAATCCAGACTAATTGATGTAAAACAGATTAATTAATCCAGATTAAACTCTCATGAGGCCTTTCTCATTTGAAATAAAAATAGCCTTAATTCAGTTTTGTTTAAATCACTTCCAAATCAGTGAAATTATTCTGATCTATAATCATTTTATCATCATGTAAGGCACTATTTTACCCTGGTAATTTAGTATTCCTCCTGTGTAGACAACCTTTAGTCTTTAATTTCACTACTTATTTCTTTTTCCTTTCTTTCTTTCTTTTTTTTTTAATTCCTCAGTTCTTGCTTTTCAGGATATGGAGTGCTGCTGCTGAGAGACATCAGGATGTCTAGAACTGAACGGGGTCCAATCTACTGCATTTTTGCAGTTCGGTTATTGTATCCATTAACCCGCTTGGATGCAGTCCTGTGCCACGTGCTCTAGGTGTCCCTGCGTATGCAGGGGGGTTGGACTAGATGATCTCTAGAGGTCCCTTCCAACCCTAAGCATTCTATGATTCTATGAAAAGCAAATAATGTATTTGGAAGATCATGCTAGGATATTCAGTTATGGCTGTGGGCATTTGCCATGAAATTAGTGTGATAAAGGCACAGCACTGAAGAAGGGGTTTGATATATTAATCAGATAAAGCACTGATTATGATTTTAGGATTAAAATAATATCTACTCAAAATATTCACTCTTCATCTACTAAAAAAAACCCCACTAAAGTATCTACTCAAAAGGTTTCACTTTTTTTTTTTTTCCCCAAACCTCATTTGTTTCCCATTTTCAAAGGTCTATATATACCTGGAGCTGGAGCTGATCAGTGCTTGGAAACTCTTGTGGCTCCATCAGACAAATCCATGTTCTTCACTGTTTTTAGAGTAGAATTTGATTCACATTTTTACCTGAGAAGATTTTATGGCATCCCACACCACGAACAGTATAATACTGAATGTTGCAGGCTTTGATTTCTTGTCATCACATCAGCTCTTTTATTATATTGTTATGGCCCTTCTAAGCTGCCTTGGAATCAAAATTCCCTGGTAAATTCATGAAAGTACATATACACCAGACATATGGCACATCAGGAAAGCAGGATTTTTGGTAACTATCAATTTAACAAGACTCAGAAATGTTGGTTAGTTAGATAACTCCCCTTTATGAAAGGACATGAAAGGTCTTATTTTCTATAGCCTACATGGTCAATGGTTAGAATCCTGCGTAAGTGAATAAGAGTGTTAGACTACCTCACTTTATGCAGTGCTTCATTTCTTTGCTGTGCCTAGTGCTGACTAGTGCAGAACACAATCTCCTAATTTTGAGGCTAGTCTATAGTACAGATTTGCTTACTGAATTCCTTTAACGTGATCCTCCTTGTATGTTGCAATCTAAAAGGAAGCACAGAATTTCCCTGATTTGTGCTTCATGCAATGATCTCAAACTGTCCAAGGCTTGAATCCCAGAAAGAAACAATTTACAGATAGAAATGACATAGTAAAATAAAACACCTTACCTTCCAAAGTGTTTCGGAAACTATAATTGGCCATTTTATCCATGGTTCCAGATTCATACTGAGACAGTGAGAGGCAAAATTCAACTTCAGCTGAAGATGGGAGCCTTGGTGTCCTTGATTTATCATTATTCCCAGGATTTCGCAGGATAGGCCCTTCACTTGTGGCATTGCATAAAGCCTGTTGGCTGTTGTACTCTTCAGATCGAGTACAAATTACCTATGTAAAACATTTTGTGTTAACAGAGTTGCGGTGGTTATAAAAGACAAAAGTAGAGAAAAATTTTAATTAATTTAAAATAAATGAAGTAAGTATACAATGGAATATTTGTTATAAGAAGAGCTATTAATTTATTTTTTTTCTGTGTATGATTTTAACATAAGGTAGGATATTTAATAGAAGATTAGAAGAGAAAAAAAAAAGCCATAATTGCAAGATTTTATGTGCATACTGTAAGGAGAGAACTCTTATCTTAGGATATGGAAAAGGACACATCATCTTTTGTTTTGAAAGTGTCTGTCCATGCTCTCTTGGGTTAACTGGGCTCAATTTCACTATGTCTTGATGATGCTAAAAGGATAAGACCCTGCTCTATCCCACAGAAATGTTGTGAGGATGAATGTAAAATGGGTTGGGATGCCATGCTGATGAGTATTAGGAAAGGGCCTTGGGTAGAGATAGATACAGATATTAAATATTGTCAGAATCCAGAATGATTTATGTAAAAATTCTGGGTTCACAGGCAGATTCAATTACCATGGCACAACAAAATCACCATTTATCAGATTATCTATGGAAACTGTTAGTCCAATTTGAGAGCCCTGAAAGTGCAAGGTAGTGCAATATAACTTCAAGTAATAGTAAGGTAATTTCAGCTAAGTCAAACTCCTACACATTTGCCATGGGTTGAAAGTGCCCACACGGACTGCCAATATTACTAAGCTGATGTTCAATGTCTTGTGTTTTTTTTTTCAATGTCTTTTAATGTCTTTAATTAAATAACTAACTTCCTCATTGTCTGAGGATGTTGGCACTCTGATGAAAGTTTCTACAGTAGCTCTCACTGTAGCCCCACTTAACAATAAAAGTGATGGAAATAAAAATGTGGTATCTTTATATATCTTGGTTCAGTAAATGCACTGGGAGTTAGCACATGTACTAGCTCTCCTTCCTACTTCATCTTCAAGAACCTGTCTGACATGGAGTCAGGTGAAAGAGGGAGGAAATGTAATGGCACAGTGGCATACAGAAGATCAAACTATATGTTTTGGTGGGCCCTTCGAGTGGCACAATTGATGAGTCTATGAAGAACAAACAGTGGTTCAGAACTTCCAGAAGTTGTTCCGCATGTACCTAAAGTGATGCTGGGGATCTGAACCAATACTGGCATCTTATTTGTCTTTTTCGAAGAAAAAACTCAAACACAAATACATTTCTGCAGTTATTGAGTAATTGAAGAAGTTAATTAGAACATTAAATGGAGAAAGAACAGATCTCAATATGGAGTGATGCATTGTAGCAGAGAACACATAACTGAAGCCTAGCGACATCTTTCATTCTGGAGCTGTGTTCCTATTTCGTGGGCTTCAACAAGTAGGTGAGTGAAAGCAATCATATTTGCTGAGTGAAGAACATGAGATTCTGTATTTGTAAAGGCAGTGAGTGAGATGTTCATTTTGCCAGCACTAGCTGTGTACAAACTGTCAGACTGAAGTAACCCTTTAGGCTCTACTTCTATAGTCAATAGACAGGGAAAGGCATCTCCAGAGTGTGATTCAGCCTGCCTAAATCAGTGAGATGATATCCATATTTTCGGGCACCTAACTCTCTCCACTGGTTAAGCTAACAAAAGGAGATGCATAAAAATTCAATGCAGAAACTGTTTCTGGACTATCGTTGTTAAAGGAAGAAAAATCAAGAGCATTCAGCTAACTCAGTGCTCTGCTTCTGCATTAGGATAGGATCATGCCCTGGAGACATGGATGTGTCTCTACTGACTAAAACAACTTGCTTCGTTTCCTAACTAACTTTTAAATGATTAGAAGGAGATGAGATGAGTCCTATTCTAAGCAATCTGACCACCAATTCACAGAAAATGTATGACATAGTTGGTAATGTAGTTAGAGTTCTTAAGAATCTGGCATTCTTATACGATAAGATTTCCATGAATATGAATTGCATGAATAAATTATCTTCTTTTTTTTTTTTTCAGGAGATAAGAAAGCTTATCAGAAAAATTTATCCTTCAAGAACATTCTATTAACTGCAATTTGCCATGGTCTGTTAAAACTACTGAGGTTAAAACTACTGAGGTGTAGCTGTAGGTAGGAGTAATCCAGGACATTTTCACGTGCACAGAACACAGTACCCCACTGAGGGTCACCAGTTGGGCCAGGATTATGCCTCTCAGAGGCTCTTTTCACAAGCCCCACAAGAAGGGAGAGTGAACAACAGGGAGAGACTTGCAGCCATAAACACAAAGCAGAGCTATAGCTTTTATTATTGCTTTCTCTTCATAATAAAAAAGAGTTCTTGAGCTTGCAGTTGCTCCAGATGGAGAGAAAATAGGGGGTTGATTCAGTGTGAAGGAGATACTCTAGTTATTTTGTGTGCAGAAAAAGTGCTCAGTCCTATTTATCAGCAACTGCACTAGTCAAGAAGGAAGTGTGCCTTGGGTGGTGGATCTCAACCCATTTCCCAGTCTGTCTCTCTGCTCAGAGACTTAACACACGTAGACTCTCTACCCAGCTCTGTTTTTTCAGAGTCTTATCCAGTGCTTGTTCTGGCTTTTCTGCTCGGCCATCTTCTGTCCTTTCATCCTTCTGTCTACTGCCCTGGGGATATATCCATAGTGTATCCTAAAGAGGAATCACGTGTTCAAGATCAGGGGGTGTTTTTTGCTATTTAGACAAGGAATCTTTAAGTATGAGCTTAAATGTGTGTTAAAAAAGAGGAACATTTCCCTATTGTTTTGTTTAATGGAGTTCTAACGGAGTTTATTGCAATGCAGTTTTCTGAGGCTTATAAATGGAGAGAATGCTAGCTTTTTTTTTTTTCCTTTTTTCTTTTTTTTTTTTTTCCTCCTATTTATGTCTCAGTGTAGCGTTCATTAACTTGCTAACTAAATGTAGCCTAAGCAGAAGACAGATGCTATAGGGCATCTGGTAACACATAGTCACACAATGCCAACATAAGGGACAGGAATGAAAATGTAAACTTTGGTCTAAACTAAGTCAGGTCATACAAGTAGCCTCTATGCTTATCCAAAAAGGTACAATTTAGTCAATACAAATTATGGCTCTCTACCTATGTTATTATTTTCTGTTTTATCAGTCTTGTGAGATGTAAGTTGTAACAGCATGCAGGTCAGTTAAATGGTTTTACTGGACTTTTTGGATTTGATCTATAAATGTATGTAAAATGGGTCATATGATTGCCTTCTTTTCACTCCAGCAATAGATTTTTTACTAGAAACATGCTGTTAAAACACACAGTTTTTTTGTTCTCTTTTTTGGAATAATTTTCTGCTTGCCCTAAACAATAGTCAATACTTAAATTGAGCTGAGAAGCTGCTCTTGAGTGTGTGTAAATGCACGAGGTCCAGGGAAATTTTGAGGCAGCTTCTCTGAACTCAAGCTTATGTAAGCAGACAACAGAGCAAGTGCCAGTAGATGGCACTCCAGAATGCGCAGCATCGCTCCTGCCCTTGGAAGCTCCCCAAAACAGCCCTCAGCGCACTGCAGCTGAGCTCTTCTGCACGGCTCTTTGTATCGTTTCTTAGAAAACAGACTGCAAATGTGTGGAAGCGCTGCTGCTGTCTCGCACCTTTTTGCATATAGGAAACCCTTTTGCCTTTAAGTTTGTAACAGGCTGAGCAGAGCAGCACCTGAACCCAAAGAAAGCACAGGAATCATCCGCAGGGTTAGATCCTTTATCTACTATTTTTAAATGCAAAGCTTCTGGGCGTTCGGATGGTGAATCCTTTCGGGTTGCTTTGCACTTGTTAGATCGGTGCTTGCAGGGATGTGCAATAAATGCAACACCTGGAAGAGGTGATGAATATTTTTCAGAAGTGCTGGAAGAGTCGCTCAGTCACAAGCTGAGTTGAAGCTCCCCAGTTTCCTAGTGAAGGAAGGGCATGCAGAAGGTTAATCTGCACTTCTGCACACAGCTTCCTTTTAGAGATGATCCCTTGCACTGCATTTTTTCTGAGCCCATGGACCACGAGTCCAGAGACTACAAATGCATATATTCAGACTATTATGACCCGGGTTAACATACGCTCAAAGAGCTGGTTCAAAGGACAGGCAGAGCAACCGCATGGTTGTCCTTGCTTGTCTGCTGGACACATCCCAGTTCTCCCGAGGGCTGGGATGGGGCATTTCCTGGGTGATGGCATTTCTCTGTATCTTACATATTTCTCCTACATTAAGTCTAGATGTGTGAACTGGCACCCTGGGTCACATCCCAGGGCCAAAAAAGCCTTTGCACTGTTTCACCACTTTCCTCTGCTCTTTTTTTTCCGCTTATGCTCACCTACGTGATCGGAAAGGCATTGAAGTGCTGCCCTCAAGCCTGATTTAAAACACAGGGCAGTTGCAAAGGGGTCTAACTTTTACTTTTGGCTGCATTAGGGGCATAATTTAATCCTACTCAAATGGCATCCAGAAACCAATTACTCACCTGTGGAGGCTTGTTCAAAGACAATAGTACCTTGTTAGCAGATAGTTAACCACAAGGGTGTCAGTCTTTGCAGCAGATGGGGGACAGAGCCGAGAAAGACGAGGACTGAGGAACACCTCCCCCTGCCCCGTGTGCGACGTGTCTTGCCAGAAGAAAAGAAACAAAGCCAGACAACCGCGCAGGTGGCCAGATGCTGATTGGTTGTGAGCTTTGCAACACTTGTGTTAAGAAAGTATAAAAAGAAGTTGGTTTGGAAATAAAGTTGTCTCACTCTGCACCCCAGACTGAGTCCGTTTCTTCACAAGGTGCAACAAATGGCGCCCAACGTGGGGCTCGAAGACTAGCTGTCTCTCCGGTTGCACCGCCCAGCTGAACTCCCGGGAATCACGCTGAAAGGAAGCGTAAGGATCAAGCTGAAAGGAAGCTTACTTTGTGTGCACACTAAAAGCCTCTTGAAAGGAAAGAGGTAAGCGGCTGGGAACTATGGGTTCATACCTAATGAAGGAACAAAAGGACGATTTAGAAGCTTCTCCTAA